CTCTCCCTGTGCAGCAGGAGTGCAAGACTACGACTGTCTGATGGTGGGATAGGTGAGTTTTTTATTATATCATCCATAACTTGGGTCAGAGCCAGCAATATATAGTCCATATCTGAAATGCAGAGACTGAGTCCCCTAAACCTAAAAAGCCCCTGAAACTAAAGCCCAGAAATACAGGTCCCTTTATAAGTGTTTCCTTCAGTACTTTGAAGCTGAGCCCATAGCTGCAAAACAGATGACTTTTTAAAGACAGAGTGATGTTTTTCATCAGCACCCGGAGGGCCGCATGCTCCCGGCAAAGCCCTGGCTTGCACCTTTCAGCGCCTCGCTACTCGCGCCGGGACACACGAGACATAGTCCTGTCCTGCAGCAGGTGCGGCAGGAGCTGCAGCATGAAGGAAGCGGCTTCGTAGCTCTCCGGCAGCGGGTGCGCTTGTCTCGCCAAGCGAGCCCGACGGTGAGAAGAGAGGTAACGGTCCCTTTAGCTCTCTTGGTAGGTCGGCCTCCGAACTGTTTGTGCCTTAGACTTGATGCAGGGACTCCCCAGAACAACTTGTTCCGGGGAGCGCTGGAAGTTTCCTCTCACCGGGAACAGATCAATAATAACACAATGCTTCTTAGCAAGAAACGTAGCTCAGTCAAAAGCTGGACTGCACAGGACTTAACAGGTAACATTGACAACGGTGCCCAGCTTTTTCAGCCAGCCTTACTGATTCTTCCTCTCCACGTCTCTTTTCATGCACCCTTTTATCTCCCCGCTCCAGCCTTCACCCAACACCCGCCCTGTCACCCCTCCAGCCCCACACCGACCTACAGTATTCACTCTTTCTTCCCTCAACTACGATGCTCTGGCTCTGAGGAGAGGTAAGGAGCACAACCCAGCCGGCAGCACGGGTCCTCTCCTCCCCGTGGCCCGAGCTTCCTTCACGCACAGCTGGGGGTCTGGTAGCACTACTGCTGCCTCCACAATGCAATCGCTAATTGGGAACTGCAGTTCTGTACAGGAATTCTGCCTTTGTTGACTCTATTATTTGTTCCTCACCTGTTACAAGTCTGTGATGCTGCATGCCTCCCTTCTTCCAATACCACTGAATTAAACTATTTTAACAAATAGTTTACTTACCCTGCATTCAAAAGGAAGATGTATATCCTGACTCTGTTAAGCCACACACACGAGTCTTTATTTCTGACACAGCTGTGCCAAATGCTCTCCTTTGGCAAGTGCCTTTGCAGCCGTTTAAAAACAAAATTGTCTTTCTGCAAATCTAAATAAAATGATATCTGCATTTTTTTTCTGCCACGAGCGAAGATACGTTGTTCTTTGCCAATCTATCAAATTTTCCAGCTTGTTTTTGAACAACATGACTATTAGAAGGTGACCAGGAGCACTTTACAGTCCACGCTCATAACAGAGCGGCGGCAGTTGCAACGATGAATACTTGTCCCAGGACACACACCCCCCAGCCAAAGCTCAGCCTCGGGCCGCTGTCAGCTCACCCGCGCGCTCTGCTTTGCAGCAGGGTCGCACAGCACTGGCTTGTCAACGCAGAGACACAGGGACTTGGAACCGACTGGGCGTTCAGCAAGAAAGAATTGCATACACACAGGTCGGTAAAAACTATGCTTGCGTGGGAAAGTGGAGTTGCACCACTGGCCTAAACTTTGTGAGACTGAAGTTGTATGCTGCCTTGGGCAACTTTTTTTAATTTTTATTTTAAACATACTGGAGACTGTGTGCAGCATCATTTATCTAAGGACAATTTGGCATATTTAGATTTAACTTAGGAGATATAGAGATACCCAAGGTACCCATAGATAAATGGGTATATAAATTTGGCACCCAAAGTTCACTTTCACAGAAGCTCAACATTTTTGGAGAGAAATGTACTACTATTTATCTCTTGCACTGAAAACCGAACAGACAGAAACACATTTGATCGCAGCCTCAGAAAGCCTGCATCCCTCTTGTCCGTCTCTCTCACTTCGAACCGTTTCCTGCTCAGCACTCGCAGGGTTCACAAGGCGGCCACGCATCGCGTTCCTCCTCTTCTTTCATAACCAAGGCTTGACATGTCACTTCACATCCCCTGCAGTTTTAGCATTATCTATTACTGGCTTAGCAGCCGAATAACACCAACCATCGCAAGCCTGACCTGGCTTCTCGCTGCACCTAAATCTATGTTTATTTTGTTCAGTGGCTGATGAGATACTACAGTACATCATAAGCAGTTCCGGTTGTTAATTTGCTAAGAATTCATGGCAGTTAGTGCACCGATAGGGGAAGGCTTTGATCTCACTGTTTGTGCTAGGTTTGGACACATTTCAGCGCACATATAGATTACCTCAGGCTGAACGTGTTGGCAAGTTACAGCTTTATGTTCTTTAAGTGATAATGCTTTGTTCTGTGCTCAATAATCATGAGCATTAAGCGCCCTTTGCTGGCATGGCCAGGCCGATGTTACCAATCCCGAGTGTCTCAGCAGAACGCCTGCATTCAGCTTCGAATGCAGAGGGGGGAATTCTGCAGAAGCTTTGTCCCAGCTGGTGGTGAGAAGCCAAAGGGTCACACAACCGTGCCAGCAGCCAGCCATCTACGCCTGTCAAGATGACATTGGAACTGGTAAGCCCAGAGCTTGGGAGTTAAGCGGTAGACTGTCCCTTCTTGTAAAAACATCATTCATGATGAATTTCAGCAACATTGCCTCCAAAGATGACAAAGATGTGACTGTTTCAGGAGCAATGGTTAACTTTGAAATGCGACAAGCTATCTTGCTCCTAACATTTCTAGTACAACAAAGTGTGTAGGTACTACCTGACATGAACACGGACCTGAACTATGGGAGTAGTTTACCAGGGATCTCCTCACTTTTAAGATCCCTGGATGCTTTAAATTGAGGACAAGCTTTCTAAAAGGTTCCATCCAGCTCCACCACGAACTATAACTTACCTGCATCGCCCTTGGCACATCAGGCTGACTCAGCACAACAGTCCCCATGCGTCATCCTGCACAGAGGAACACATCCACACAGCCCACCAGGCAAAAAGTGGTATAAACACATTGGTGAAGAGCTAGTGAATCCTGCCTAACAGCTCTTCCTTGGAAGAGAAAAATTCCTCTCCAAGTCATTATGGGAGAGGCTGGAAGGGGCTGGTACCCTGGGTAGCTGCAGGGTTTTTTTCAGAAAAGAGCAGAAGGCCTCAGAGTAGAAGATCAGAGCACGTGTGCTTTGTGTCCTACCCTTGGTTCTTATTTGTCAGCAGGGATATTAAATTCCTAACATACCCTAAATCAAGGGAAAATGTAGCAAGCACCAGCAGCCTGGGAAACAGTGCGCAAGAAAAATTCACCATAAACTAAAGAATGGGTCCAAACACAGCAGCACTAATATAGAGATTTTATTTCGACTGTATTGAGTTGTACAGCACATTTTGCCTGTCACAATGCTATCGAACTGATTTTAAAGTTTTTGGCCAGCACATTGTGACGCTGAAACTCACAAGAGCTAAAAGCAGTTTGGACTAATGGCCTGAACAGGAGGGCCAGGAGTACCTAGTTTCTGGCTTCCTTATTGCTTGCAGTCATTCCAACATGTGCAAAACAGGAGCAAATCCAGTTTCTTCTGCCAGCCCAACGGTCACTCTTCCATGTCTGGCAATGACTGCAAGGTACAAGGCAGGGGAGAATCTGAAGCAAGGTGCCTTCTCTTCCCGAAGCCGTGTCGGTTGTTCCCAGTATGGAAAAGAAGCAGAGTCCAAGTAAGTACAGGGTCTTCAGATGATGCTAGCTTTGCTTGCGCTATTGGGATTTACAAAACCAGAGGCTGACACAAAGTGCAGGAAAGAGTCATTATTCCATTCCCTCCGATGGAGATGACAAACCATTAGCGAAAAATTTTGGAGATCACAACAGTGTGAAGTACTCTGCCTTGTCAGTAGACCAAATGTCCTCACAGGTCCTCCCCACCACATATAAAGTCTCAGCTCATGAGGTGCAGAATATATCAGACATTTTCCTTTAGCTGGAAAGAAAATCTGCATTTCTGTAAAGAAATGCCCCACTCTCAAACTCTTTTTCCTCATTAGTATCTGCAGATTTCTCAGAAAGAAGGCAGGATAGATACTCCCTGAGGGATCTAGGGATTAAAAGACCACCTGAAGCCCATTTTCTTTCTAAACCTTTCTTTCTAAACCCAGTTCCTTTTCTGCCAAATGAGTTGGGATTCCTGCTCTCTAGTTTAAAGAAGTAGAGAGGCAATTACAAATTGGCAACTCTGAACTTTGACCACTGTACAGAAGACAAAAAAAGAAATCAAATTCAAGAGGCATTTTAGGTAGCACTGGGGCAAGTCAGAGGGATTGTTTCCACCACTGAACAGATGCCACACATCATGTTTATCACTGTAGCTTGGCTGTACATCCTAAAGTGAAAAGCACAGACCATAGTGTCTATGTCAGCCAGTGTCCTTCCCCACTCCCATTTTGGTATCGATGCTTCATTCTCCCTTCTTCGGGTTACATTAAGTGCACAGAAATATATAGCAGCATTTGGACTGAAACCCTCACATACACCAGACAGCACATTCCAGGAGGTAAAACAACACGTTATGGCCTATACCCTCAAGGTATCAAGTTTTCAGGATAAAGAGCAGTAGGAAGTGGAGAGCTGAGGGCAGAAAAGGGGAGGAGGAGCAACACAGGAACACGAGTTCTGTTTCCATGCCAGGAGAGGATCAGGGTGCCATTCCTGTGTCAGCACCAGGCTGTGACACGACCGCAGACAAAGCAGACGGGCAGAGCAGAAGTGAAAAAGCCAATGTCCCATCTCCCTGCAGTGTTGGGGGCAGGGGCAAAGTCAAGTGCATTCACCAATCCTAGCGGAGCGTGAAAACGGGCAAAATCTGCTCAGCCCGTTTTCAGCCAGAATGAATTTCTCTTCAATGCTCAAGAGAAAATCAATTAGTGATGGCTAATGAGTCTTGTTCACCAAGCTGATCACAAGTCACACTCATGGAAAGAGAATCTACAGAACTGCTCCAGGGGGAGGCCCTTCAAAAGCACACAGTACCACCTGGAGCCTGCCCTCTTCCTTCTCGTGCAGCAGCCTGCCTTTGTAGGGGGAGTTGGTTCTAAACATGCCTTTCTATTGCTTTGGGGGTACTTTGCACAGGCAATATCTGTGAAAACATTGCTTTCCAGCCCACAAAAGAAAGAGGTTGCAATCCCCTCTTCAGCCCTAGGTTGTCAGACTACAATGTAGGGGCCCACCGGTACCAGAGCAGGGACACATACCATACTCTCTAATCTGAGCTCCTTTGCTCCAGACTGATAGTAAGACTGCTGAAGGCAGGGCATTCAAGCTTGGTGTTCAAGTGTTGCACCAAAGGCCTTCACAATTACAGTGGAGGCAGAGTCACCCTTCAAACCCATGAGAGAAAAGGCTGGGCTTAGACAGGTCCCTTTGTCTGGCATTCAGCTGGAAGCTGTGGCGATGGGTTTCTTCAGATGTTGGCTCATGAGCTCCCTGGCACGAGACACTTGGATGTGGTCATAACAGGAGTTACAAACGAGGACAGGGTCATACAACTGCTGATCAGGGATGGGCAACTTCAGATGGCAGCAACCAGCACAAAACACGTTCCCGCAGTTCCTGTCAAGGAGCAAGAAAACCAGTGAAGAGAGCTGGGAACACCATAGCAAAACTTCAGAAAGCACAAAGGATCCAGCCTTACTTATGACTTGTCAACATCTTTCTTAAAGTATATACTGTGGCCTCCAGTGCAAGCTAACTGGCTAGCACTAAAAAGGGACTAATGGGCATTACTACCCAGCAGAAGGATAAAAGGCCTTGGGAAAATAGGAACAAGAACAATGTATAATGGAAATCTGCAGAGAATTTATGAGGCCTGGCAAATAAAGGAAAAACCTAAAACTTTCTCCTGGGAGCTGGAGGGAACAAACATCCAGACAGACGTTTTGTGAAGTTTGTGAGAAACAAGCTGAGAAGAAGAGTGGAACTACAGCGATAATATTGTTTACCTGCAGTGATGCCTCCGTTTGGCCAGCCAGAATTCACAATCGCAGTTAAAACAATGTGAGGCCATGTGGTCTGGAACCCACCGCGTGACCTAGGGCAGACACCAGTCCTCATCAGCTTTAATTTTGTAACACCACAACGACCAGGTCTCAGGACCCCAGCACAGGCTGAGATGTGGCTGTGGACCACAGCAGGCCAGCTCAGAGCGAGCCCACCCTGCAGGTTGCCTTCTATCGGACACAGCAGCAGCAGCGGATGCAGAGGATGTGTTCAAGGACAAGGGTGGCTGCTCTCTGCCTTGCTTCCAGATCACTCTCTGCTGCCGTAACCACCAAAGTTAGCTGCAAAGAAACATTCTCTCCTGCTGCATTACAGCTGCCATAACAGGACACGTACCTCAGTCTCCTTCTTATCAACAGGCTCCCAGCTTGCTTCTGACAAACAGTCTTCACTGTGATCAGAACAGAAGTCCTCAGTGTCGCTGCCGTCCGATTCCTTCAAACATGTCTGCAAAAAGAGACGAAGTCACAAATCCCCTCAGCTGCCTCAGTCGCATTTCCCGCTCCGGCCACACTCAGTGCTTGCGATGGGCACGTGGGTAGCTCCACAGCTGCCCATACAAGGGAGTAAAGCATTCATGGCTTGGTGTGGGAGCTGTTGCTTGTCCCTCAAGAAGCAGAGATAGCTCTGGGTGGCATGAGGACAGGGCACACAGACAGGAGGGGAACAGGGCTGAGGAAACATAGGAACAATCTTAATCACCCACTCCAAAAGCAAGAGACTGAGAACCCTGGGTTGGAGAGGGTGGTGTGAGGGAGGTGCAGATCACCGCTGCTGGAGTCAGGGTGTTAGAGGCAGTTACTTACAAAGTCATCCTCGTAGTCCATCGGAGGCTCAGCCGGAGGAGTGCAGAAGTGGCGGATGTCCAGGCGCAGCTGCAGCTCTCGCACTTGCCTGCGCAGCTGCTCCACCTCCTGCTTGTAGCTGGCCTCGATCTGCCGCAGCCTGTGCTGAATCACATCCGTGGGGAAGGGGAGCCCGTCATCGTCCAAGTAGAGAGGAGGCACCGGAGAAGGACATTTTGGCAGCATGTGCTTGGGACCAGACGCTTGCTTCAGGTGGCAGGGTAGCCACGAACGGCCAGGCTTCCCTGCAAGGCCTGCGAAATGCGTGCTGATGTGGCCAGAGCAGGCTGAGGATTTCGCACCTTCTCTGGCAGACCACTGGCCACTGAGGCACAGGCCTGGTGCCCGCAGCGGTTTGCTGCCCAACCTCTTGCTACAGCAGCCATAGGAGAGGAGGTGTCTGGGTGTGGGCTCCCCACTGGGGAGCGATGTCACCATTCCTTGAAAACTGTCCCAGTTGGACCCCAGGAAGGAGAACTCGCTGCTTTGGCTCTGGGAAATGGGCTTGCGCCATTGCTCTAGTGGGACTTTCCCCAGCTGGCCAGGCTCCTCACAGGGCACACTCCTTCCAGCATCACCTTTGCTGTTGTCTTCGTCCGTGCAAGGGACGCCTGGAACAGGGCCGGGGATGTCCTGACAAGGGGCACTCGGTGCCAGTGACTCCTGGCTGGGAATGTCTTGGCAGGTGGTGTATCTCTTGGGGCAGCCTCCTCCATTGGACACCATGCCAGGAGCCTTCAAAGGTTCCTGGGGACAGGTTTCTAACTGGTTTCTGGAACTGGTGGAAACCCTGTCAACATTTTCCTGTCTGGAGGGATTTGGAGCTGGACATGGGCCATCCAGTTCCTCTGTGTATGTTCCGTTTCCCTTTTCTGCCTCCAGAGACACACTGCTTGCTGGCACGGAAGCCCAGCTGCTCAGTTGCTTGCTATGCCCTGCGTGCTCAGCATGGCTGCTACAAGCGTTGTTGGCTTGCAGGGGAGCGTTTTCCTCGTGCTCCTCCACCCGTCGTGCCTCTCCTGTAGCTGCCGCACTGCCTTCGCCCGAGTGCGGCTCGGCTCCCTCAGCGGTGGCAAGCCGGGCTTCCAGGCTCATCCGGACCTCCTGACAGTGGTTATTCAGGTTGGGATCACTAGATGTGCGGGTCAGCGGGCTGCTGGAGTCGCAGGCTGAGAGAAGGTCATCCATAGATCTTGTCTTTGGTAATCTAGAACCCAAAGGCAAAGCAAATCTCACAACAAAACTCCTGAAACTTCCCTCATTTCAGTCAAAACTGAGATTAGGGAAGGGAGATGTTCCTAATTACAGATCATGGGGTGGGTGCAGCAGCATGAGCTGAAACGCACAACACTACAGTATGGCCCCCATAGTTTGCCTTTTTAGGTGCAGCAGGGAGCTGTACATGTTCTTCTCCAAGTGCCTGGGACAATGCTACAGAGCTCTTGCTCTCCACAGGAAAGATGAGAACAACAGGTAAAACAGAGGAATTACAAT